CCGCTCCAACAGGTCCGTGTCTTTCTTATGCTGAGGGCCCCAGAGCTGGACGCAGTGCTCCAGGTGGGGTCTCACCAGAGCAGAGTAGAGGAGCAGAATCCCCTCCCTCGACCTGCTGGCCGCACTTTCATGTGCTGAAATGTTTGTGCAGCTGCATTAGCAGGTACCTCAGTGAAAGATGCCAGATTCCCCTGCCAGACTGGGTAGATGCTCAAGTGGAGCTCAATCTGAGCTTACCCACTGTAAGGCTAGGGCAGGAATGTCTGCGTGTCTCCCTCGTTCTGCTGGACTGCAGTGTGAACAATACCAGCCTCACAGTTGGTAGTGTGGGCAAATAGTTCCAGGACAGGGAACTCTCTTATTTTTAGCAGAACAGAAAAATAAATCTTTAAATGGCTAGATAGTTTCATGAAGACTCAAAGATGTTTCTTGGAGGCAGCATTTAGAAGACCTGCCGTACCACCTGCTCAGTGTTTAATATTTTTGAAAGGCTGCAGGATACTGTGTTGATTGATCACCTTTCATGCCGGTAGCCAGCACTCACTGAACAGTTTCCAGTACTTGAAGAGGAGTAACAAAAGATCTTGCAAAACAAAGATGTTGAGGGCTTTTTTAAGACAGATTATTGGTCATGACCTGCTGATTGTGTATTTTGGATTAAAAATGAGTTTTGCAATGTTTCTTGCAAAAAGTAATGTTAATGTTTTCAAAAACATTGTGGTGTAGGCCACAATGTTTGAATTACTATTTTTTTAATTAATCTTTATTTACAGTTTGTTGCAGATAGTAACTATTGACAGATTGATGATTTCTATTATTTTGAAATTTGGAAAGGTGGCTTCTGTCAGAACAAATATTCAAAATTAGCAAACTGAATTATTGATCACAATTTTAAATGTAGCAGTTGCAGCCAGCTTACTTGCAAAGGATTGGTTTTGTCAAATAACAGAATGCTTTATTGGTGGGAGGAAGAGTGTGCATAAGGATAGAGTAAAATGGACAACACTGAGAGATGATCCATCTTAATAGTAGCGTGTGCCTAATTTATGTTACTGTACTTACACAGCTATTTAAAATTCATCATTGAGAACAACTGAATAAGTCAGATTACTTAACTTTTTGTCTGTAAGCCTTTAAACAGTGTTGTATGCAATCGTTTCTGTTGCAAGGGCAAGGTATTTAGGGAAATTAATGTGCTATAGCAAGAGTAAGATATTTCTCAGCTGGGAAGCTGTCTGTTATCTGAAAAAGGTTTAAGTAACCTGATTTTATTGGTAGGTTAGTAAATTTCACTGGCTACTTTTGGAAAACATATTGATGGCATAGCAAAAGAAAGCGACAGTCTTTTCTTAACTTGACTGAAGGTTGATCTAGGGAAAGGCAGTCATCAAATATCTTAAAATAACCTCTAAGGCTTAAACTAATTTTTCTAATAATATAGAGGAGTTTATTTGATTTGCAGTTGTGGATCCAAAAGTTCTGTGTATTTTAATAGAAACAGAAGATGGATCTTTTTCTATTCAACCATGTGCATAAATACCAGTGGATTATATCATTCAAAAATTCCATAATTGCAGCAATTTAAAAGATAAAATTAATTTTGTAAAAAGTGTATACCGTAAATTCTACAGGCATTTCACCTTTTGTGACCAAAAATAAAAGCAATAAAAGGTAGGGTGGGGACTGTATACTCCCACATTATTTCTTCAGTAGGTCCTGAAACGTACGTCAAGCAGTGAAAGGAAGTGATGAAGCGAGCCATAATGCTTCGATTTTCTCCATCCCTAAAGTAGGTAGCAGTGGTGATTATTCAACTAACAGAGGGTTTCAGTCACATACAGTTTGCATAATCATTAATTTATATATTGGGTTCTGAATCTGCACTATAATTGGAATTTACTGTCAGTATGCTTTCTTTTTCCTGGTTGCATTTTCCACGTCCTTTAGGCACAATCCATAGTTGAAAACATGAAGTACCTAGGGGGTAAATCTGTTTATAGGGTTGGACTATTGATCACAAACTGTTACGAAGTCCTTTGTATAACTTCAAGATTTGAAATTAATGTGTTTTCAATTTGTGATCAATGTCCCTAGTTGTAAAATGACACTTGGTTTAATAATGTATTATTAGAGATACAGAGCTTTCCAGAACACAGCTTATATGAACTATTATGTACCTCTTTTTAGGACGAGGTGAGTCTTCCATTAGATATATCAGTTCTTTCTGTGAAGTATGAAGGGAGCTTAAGTTGATTACTGTGAACTTAGAGTTATTAGATGCTGTGCTTAGGCTGCTTTATTGCGTGCATATGAATACCTCTCTGCATATACATGAAATACAGCAATGTGTATAAAGTGTGATACTGCATAGTCGTATAGTTTCTTGAGAGAGTAACTGAAGACTGTTCAAGTGTTTTACTGAATAGATGCTCTAAAACATGTTTTCATGTAATCTACATCTTAAAATACTTCCAGTAGTAAAAAAAGTGCAAATATGAATGAATATGTTATTGCATAGTGTGGAAAAAAGGGTGCAGTTTACACTTAAAATCTTCTTTTTCCTTTTTCTCTTCGGTTTTTCAAAGCAGGTAATGTCTGGAGTGATCCCCAAGTACTTTATTTAAATATGGAGTGGATATTGCCTGCCATTTGAGTTGACAGTCTATAATGAAAAATTTATCCTAATCTACTGTTTAACTTTGGAGCTAATTATGTTTAGAAGTGTGTTAAAAAGGAGAATACTCAATAAACATTTTAAAAGCAGCTTGATAACAGAACAGGTAATGTCTTAGATGTTCGTATTTGTGGCACTGGGGTTACATGAAAGGACTTAATATATCATACCAGACTATATAGGGTTTTTTAAGGTTGGGTTTTTTTTTTTCCCCAAGATGAGCATGGGATAGATTTTTCTTTCCTAGATAGTGCTAAACGTGCTGTTGTTTTACTATCTTTGATAGCTGAGAAATCTCAAACACGTGCATGTGACAGTAAAGAAATATGTTTCATCTTTTCATATGTTTTCTGTTTAGTAAACAGTCATTTAATAATCTAAACAACAGTCCCATGCCATTTTGTCACAGTTTCTTGTAAGGCAGGTCTACAGTCCCTGTGAGCAGAAATTCTCATAGTTGAGAAATTTTATCCCATTATTGATAGAAGTGCTTGTTGGAGCATCCTGTTCTTGCTGTTTGTATGTATACCTTAGGCTTGTGCATCCAGGAAGAACACATATAGCTCCTCTGTGGTTAAAAATGTGTTTATTCACTTCCCTGCCATCACAGTTGTTGCATTCAAAAGTAATATTTTGGATTTTGAAATTAAGATATATTAAACCTGGAGTTATGTAGTTTGATGGAATATTTTTCTTTTAGCTTGATATTTTGCATTGAAGATGCAATTGTCTTGGTTTTTGTTTGATGTAACTTATGATTATGTAATCATTTACATTTAAACCATGGTTTAATTCTCCTAGGTTGATAGTGAATATTTCTGCAATTGACTATAAGTAAGACTAATCAAAACTATACTCCAGAGTAGTATATTCCTGGCTACCCATTATGTGATTATTGTGCTTTACAGTGTTCTGTAATTTTAACCTGAAATTGGCTGAACACATTACTTTTCTTAAAAAATTGTGCGTCGTATAACAGCCCTAGTGTAGATGACCAAAATACAGCTTTATAATTCTTAAATATAGTTATTTTGCAAACTTAATTTTCCTTGACCTTTTTCTTGTATAGTAAGGTACTGTTTTCGTTGACTACCCATTATTTCAAAGTAGAGGATGGAGGTGAAAGATCAGTCTGTGTCACCTTTGGTTTTTTCTTCTTCGTGAAAGCAATGGCAATTCTCATTGTGACAGAAAACTATCTAGAGTTTGGACTGGAATCAGGTAACTCCTTTCTTTAGTGTTTGCAACAGCTCTAGTGATTGCATGACCTGAAAAATTTATTTCCAGTCTTTTAGGTGTTTTTGAGAATATCTGTGTTAAAATGAACTCTATATGTCATATACTTCTAAGACACTTTGCTTTGGAATGCAAATTCTGAAGGATATCCTGTATATTTTCCCTGCTTTCTTTTAAATAGTGTAATCTTTGCCTAGGTTGTTTGTTTTGTTAATTATATTTGCCTTCCAGTTTTACATTTAACCCATTTTGCCTTTCATAGTAAAGTGAAGCTTCTTTACTGGGAAAAAAAAAAAGAAATACTTATGTTTGTAAAAAATAATGTTAATTTTATTCATGTTCTTGAAGTGTACAAATATCAGAAATGTTAATAATCAAGTTTTATTGCATTATGGCATACCAATTAGCACATGAAAGAGCTATGCTAGACATATGAAGATTTATTTAAAAGATGACCTGGCATTTTATTTCAAAAAAGGGATTCTGCATTTGTACTGCGTACATGCTTATTATCTCTATAATGATGTGAAAAGGTGGGTTAATGAAAATAATTCGTCAGTACTCACAAGTAACTTAAGTTGCATTTGTGTTTTCTCTTTTTAATTTGGAGATAGTTTCTACCCTGACATCTTGGTTGTAGTCCATAAAATACAGTTCAAAACTATAAACATTTTTTTCATGGTAATTCCCATCAGCTTTGCAAGGATTGCTTAAAATAGACGATAGGTATTTTTTGCATTCCTGTGGTATGCAAGAGGATGAGTGTGCAAAAGCTACAGATGGAGCTTGTGATAAAGTTGGCGTGAGGAGTAAATTTTGGGATTCAGTCCTGTTTTCAGGACTGTTTGTAATAGTGTTTTCCTATTGTGCAAAAACATCTGCTTGCTACAGGACATCCAAGTTTTGTATAGGCTGTCAAAGGAACATGCCGTAGCTTGTGATGTTACATAAATAGTCAGTCGCTGTCGTAGACAGCCTTTGTATATTGTAAAATGGATTTCTGTTACAATTCTTTCCTTCTACACATGGTCTAAAATGCGTTTGTGGGGTATGTCGTCACTGTGGGACCGCAGCTTTGAATTTCGTGCTTGAAAGTTCTCAAGTATCGTGCAGAAGCTCTGGAATCTTTATTTTTGAGGAACAGAAATTTCCTCAGACTTGATTAGTGTGTCATTTATGAATAAACTCATGGGAAACCCTTAACTGAATCCCATGTATTTCTTAGCCTTTCTTCACTCTGCTTTTCCTAAGCTATTGCAAGTTTACTAACTTTATATTAATTTTCCTGTTAAGTGTTTGCTTATTTTTGAAATTTTGCAGTGCTTTGGCTGTTTAGAGGAACAGAAATTTCCTCAGACTTGATTAGTGTGTCATTTATGAATAAACTCATGGGAAACCCTTAACTGAATCCCATGTATTTCTTAGCCTTTCTTCACTCTGCTTTTCCTAAGCTATTGCAAGTTTACTAACTTTATATTAATTTTCCTGTTAAGTGTTTGCTTATTTTTGAAATTTTGCAGTGCTTTGGCTGTTTACAGCAGCAGTTGAGGTGATGATGGTGTCTTTTGGTAGTTCACAGGTTGTAGATCAAGAAAGAATCTGAAACTCATGTGGATCACTAGATTTGTTTTTGTTCCTCTTTAATCTGTGTTAGTTACATGTCACTTCTTTTTTCTTTGTGTAATCCAGTGTTTGTTAATTCCGTAATTCAGTTGATCCTGGATATTTTTTTCTGTAATTTTTTTACATAGTCCATAGTTCATTAAAACAAATTATATTAATCACTTGAAAGAGACACGTTAATTGGCCACATGTATGTTTTAGATAAATCTGTGAAAAACTGCAGTAATAAGTTTGATAGAGCTTTTTAATGGATAAAGGTAGAATGTAAGTAGTATAACTTAAATATCCATTTTGTGTTTGACCAGTTAAACTTGTGATGCATCTGTTCTTCTCTTAAAAACATAATCATTAAATTCATTCTATTAGCTATTTCTGTTATATAATTTGTTGTTAATTACAATATAAAATTACTCTTTTTTTGTTCTTTTCTACTAACATGCTTAACGTCTTATAGGCAGTAGCTTAGGTTTTCTGTTTTTCTAGGAAATAAATAGGTGACTTGGTTTTTTTTATTTCAGCTCCTTATTGGTTTGTAATAATGCTAGTATTCCAGAGTAAAACTATAGAATACTGTTTGCTTTTTTATTACGTGTTAGATACTGTTGAGTTGAAAGTAGTCTCTGATACCCCACCCCCCCAACTTCCTCCCCAAGAAAACGCTTATTTCCTTTCTTTTCTTTTAGGGGTCCTGTGTCTAAACTAACCTTCAAATTGTTCCTGGCTGTTCTGTGTTCACTTATTGGTGCTTTTTTGACATTCCCTGGCTTGCGACTGGCTCAAATGCATCTGGATGCTCTGAATTTAGCAACAGAAAAAATAACACAGTAAGAGAAAATATATGCACATAGGTATATGCTACTCAGTCTTAAATCTTTAATGTCTGAAAATAAACAAAGCAAACTATTCCAGTAAGAAGGTAGTGACTAAGACTTCTGTTGCTGCCTGCTTTTCATATCTTGAGCAGACTTGTCACCTGCCTCTGTCTGCTCAACCTGTGCTCTGCCAGCCTGTTACATTCTTTGCCTTGTAATTAGAGTCCCAATTAAAGGAGCTTTCCTTTCCTCCTGCAAGAGCTCCTCCATGAATGTTTCTGCTTACCGCTTCCTTTCCCCCATCATATCTTTTTTGGAAGTTAAGATAACTTTCAGGATGTAGAGGTGCAACCATGACTTTTTTTTTTCCCCACTCACCACCCCCACTTCCAGGTGGGCATCATGCCTTTAATAAATTAGGGTAAGTTACAAAGAAAAGATGACCCAGAATATTTAATAGGGGTCAGAAGTTAATACCAGTTTAAAGGAATATTTTCATTTTCAGCTGTTATTGACTTTGGTAGTAATATGTCTTCTCCGATTTAACTATTTCTCTTCAGCGTTCTCTGGTTGAGGGAGCAACTCCAAATGCCTTTCATAGATCTTGACCTTTGATGTTTAATACATGTTAATGACAGCACAGGCCATTGCCATCATTTAGTCTGGTCACTTTCCTAAGAGAACCGTTTTATTTTCTGATACGAAAATTATTTATGTTCAAGCTGCATTTTTTTTTTCTTTTCCCCCAGAAATGCCCAGCTTAAAAATTAATCTGTGTTTAAAGTGGGTCCTTCGCTCTTGGTAAATTTATAACCAAGTACTCTGTGTTACACTTGCACTCATCATAGTTGAATGCATCCAGATACAGCTGCAAGCTATTGGCTTGTTGTATCTGCTGTTAAATTTCTATGTGCAGACTGTGACTGAGTCACTTCCTAATCTGTTCTTTTCAGCTAAATGAAGTAAACTGCTTAGTTTTTAATTTTTATGGTTCTCAATATTTTAAAATTTCTTGTGCCTTATCTGTAAGTATCCTCTAATTTTCCAACATCTTCCTTGATCTGTGGACGTGAGATCCTAGGCAGAAATATAAAATCTCTGAAACAGAAATTTATTAATCAAGAACTAAAAGGGTAATTAATATCCACTAGAATGAGGTTATGAAAAATAAATCTTCTCTAACTTAATGTTTAGAGGGTATTGGAACTAGTTGATAACTTTGTGCAACACCAAGCAATTTGCTTTCAAAAGTCTACCAATACTTCGACTATTCAACTGGAACAATATAAAAATTACGTTAAATGGATTAAAACTTGGTCAGATATCAGTGTAATTAGGTAATGCAATTATAAACAAAGAATCATTGTCAAGTGATAGGGTCTAATTGGCCTGAAGAGATGGTATTTGGCCTTAGTGATGTGTTTTTTATGAGTGAGTAGATCATTATTGACTGTTTGCAGTTGTTTGTCAGTGACTAAAGGGGAGTAGTAAGTGAGGATGATTTGTCACTGATACAAAGCTCTCTAATTTGGGTGCAGGAAAACAATGCCTTTCTCTGCAGTCAAATACATGGTCTACTTTTGGGGGGCGGGGGGAAACAAAACCAAAACAAACCTCCCCCAGATCCCCAAAGCTGCCCAAAAAAACCACCAGCCCCCAAGCTCCCCCCCAAAACAACAAAAAACCCCCTCCCAAAAACAAAACAAAAAAAAAAAAAGGAAAAAAAATAAAGGGGACAAGCTCCTTTTCCCATTCCATTACAGAATGGGAGACTTAACTTACAGGGAATACTGACCAAAAAAAAAGTAAAGGTTAATGATTAACTACCACTTCACTAATATGTTCAAAATGATTAATGATAGCTGATTTGATTTTTTTTTTTCTTTAGCAGCAGTATCCTTCCCTGCATATATTTTGGAGTCTTCTTAATCAATTTGTACCATTTTCATAAACAGTCCCTCATTTTCCCGAGCCTGCTTCAAGAGTCTTTCAACCTTTCTCCCTGTACTCAAATAAACAGAAAGGGATTCTTGCCACCCTTTGGCACATTCCAGTCCATTAACTCAATAGGATGTCTTAAATAAGTAGAATCTCAGGTAAAATGCTTTCACAAGTTACTAAAATTCTTTGGACTGTTCCTTGATGCTGTCGTGTTCCCTAGCAACGCTGAATAACTAGCAGTGCTTATTTCTTCATCTGAAACCAATGATTTAAGCGTGTGTGTGATGACACCTTCTGAAACATGCAGACATTTTAATGGTTTTAGGAAGCTTGATATTTTGAAATCAGTAAGGTCTTGTGTTCTTCAGAATAACTTGATTACCTCGTTTTTTCTAGAGTGTAGAAGACTCTGGTTGGAGGTGGAAGTGTAGACAAGCTGGTTCTGTTAGTGAGGAAGCATTGCACTAGCAAAACCACCAGATCTACAGCACTGAACTTTTCATTTCAATTTAGTGATGAAAAATGATTTGGATATGGGGTTCAGAAATGAAGAAGGATATTAATTTCAGGGAAAAAAAAAATCCAGAAAACTATCTCCTCTTTTTAAATTCTGCTGTACAAAAGGGTACTGCCTCTACATTAACTGTGCAGTTTCGTACAATGCTTTTAAAATGGAATAGCTGTGCTGGCTTTTTTTTTTTTTGTCCGAGTATCTTTAATTGAATGTAAGTACCAAGTTTCATTTAGTCAAGGTACGTAAGTAGAAATCTTCATTAAACTGGGAAATCTGACCTCTCAGAACTGCTTCCCCTGGTCTGTATAGATAATGGAAGTTAATCTGAGTACTTTTTTAATAAAGCAAAAAAATAGTAGTATAGCAGCATTTTTCCCATAATTATCCATCTGAGATGCTGACTCTCTAGGTTAAAACTGTAATAGCTAGTGCAATTTGGTGTTATGCCATCGTATGGAAATTTTCAACAACTGTCTTTTGCTATAGTGTGGCATAATGCAGGTAGCTCCTTTGGTTAGATTGCTTGGAATAAATCAAGTTTTCAGATATTCTAAGAACATTTTTTTAAGCCACAAAGAGTGTGATTTCACAGTATGTAATATTACTGATTTGTTGAAACGCGAGTCATACCTATAAAATAGGGAAATAATTTTCTTCTTTACCTTTCTTCCAACTATTTTAAAATTTGGATTTCTCCTTTTGAATCTGTACCACCAGTTTCAACAGTATGGTAATTGTTTGTATTTAATAACTTCCCCCCTTTTTTTTTCTTCTTTCAGAACATTGCTACATATAAACTTCTTGGCACCTTTATTTACGGTTCTACTGTGGGTGAAACCAATCACTAAGGACTACATTATGAACCCACCTTTGGGCAAAGAGAGCGTCCCTTTGTAAGATTCCCTTTAAAAATTCTTTCTGGGGTATTGAGAACAAAACCATAAGTCTAAGTAGTGCCCTGTGAAAGTCATAGAAACGTGAAAGACTTAAAATTTAATAGCATCTGCTGTCAAAGGTATTGTGGAAGTTGCAGAAGAGCTTCTGTTATTTTGGAAGAACGAGAATTAGTCGCAGTGTTGAATGGTAAGGTGGTCGTTCCCAAAAAAGCTGCTACCTTCTGGCATCTCCTTGGCAGTGATGGGTTGTTCTTCCTAGGGGTGGAATACCACCTCACTGCCAACTTCTGGAACCTTGTATCTTACATATTGGTGTAGGAAAGGAGTGGTTTCACTGAAGGCAGTCGAGATACATTGGCATGAGAACTGACCTAAGCAATTTGTCTTAAGATCTGTGTCTAGGTGAAGTGCATATGGAATTGATAGCTAAAATATTTAAAATGTAAAAAAGGAAAGAATTTTCAGGAAGAGTGGTATCTGAAATAAATACTGTGTAAATAGCATAGGTGATTGCCATTGTCACTATTAGTCTAGATAATTCAAAATAGCAGTATTCAAATAGACTTGAAACAGACATGATTGGCTGACACTTTTATTGCTTTCTAGGCCTAAGATATTCTAAGGTGATTCTGTGACCACTGAACTATTACATAGAACATTGCACATATACATATTTTGTGCTTCCATTTTGTTCCTCAGTTTATCTTAAAATGAGGGCTGTGCTGTAACAGGGTATCTAAGGCAACTGAAGTACACACTTGCTATCTAGAACTGTGTGTCTCAAAACCTGTAATTATCTGAGTGAGCTTGTCTTTTAGTGTCCTGTCTTCATTACTCAGAATTTAAGCATTTAAGAGCTGTTTGTGTTTACGGGCAAATGGATACTAATTTGGATCTAATGCTGCAATAGGGCTATTAAGAAGTAGCAGTAGAGAGGGAAGCAGAGGGCAAACGTGAATATTACTTGCACATGAACTTCATAACTGTAGATTGTGTGTTAAGTATTTTTGACAATATGCTGCAAGATTTCTTTACAGATGATACAAACAAATAACTCTGTAGCAGTAGGTGACCTTTGGAAAACAGCGTTACCCTTTTTTTTTTAATCCACAGAATGTCAGAAGATACATTTGACACCATGAGGTTGTGGATTATAATCCTGTTGTGTGTTTTACGGTTGGCTATGATGCGTCATCATTTACAGGCCTATCTGAATTTAGCTCAGAAAAGTGTGGATCAGATGAAAAAGGAAGCTGGCAGAATAAGTATGGTTGATTTACAGAAAATGGTAAGTATGGTGTCACTGAGGTTAGGTATTTGGAGTGGTCTGTCTGTACAAATGCTTTTTTTCCAGTTTGTTATGTCTTCTTTGGCACCAGAGCTGAAATCTGAATGAAGCTTCCTAAAGTATATCTCCTATAAAAATAGCACCATTACAGAGAAATTCTGTAAACCTAATTATGCAGAGATGTATCATCCATATTATGCAGATGGCTTGTCTAAAGTTATTTGGAAGTTGTTATAAAAGATCCTTTCATGAATTGTTCTTTACAATTATGATGTGTTTCTGTTCAGCGTGAATAGATCTTGCGGAGTGCAGAGGGTGAGTGGTGATCTCTAGCTACAACATGGGGAAAAAAAAAGTTGAATTTAGATAGGAGGGTAAAATACTGTTACCTAATCCCAACTATGATTTTTAAATTGAGGCAAAATTTAAGGTAAAGTGATTATATTTTGGGATAAAATGAGACATGTTTAATTCTGTCAGACCACTCTCAAGTGCACTAGCCTAGTTACAAAACTGTCTGCCCATCTTGTTACTGTGGCAAAGGAAAAAATTATTTATTTATTTATTTAAAAAGAAAAGTAATAAAACATACCATCAACAAACTGAGGAGGTAGAAATTCGTAAGCTTGTTGTAAAATGGTGTTTTGTGTTGCCTGCAAAATAGACTTACATTTCCAGTGTTGCATGATAGTGCTGCCTGATGATCTTGCGGAGTTGGGGTGCATTGCAGGAGGAATATTGAAGTATGCCGTAAGACAAAGATTCCTCTCTTAGGATTGTCACTATTACTTGTAATCTTGTCCTTGGCTTCACTGAGATTCTGAAGGTCGTAAGTGAACTATGCAGTAGTTATTTACAAACAAAGTGGCTAGCAGTTTGCTTCAGAAAACAGGTTAGGAAATACAGGTAGCAGCAACTGGTTAGGACAGAACTGTGCTGATTGCTGTGAATGCATAATTTCAGTTCTGGGAGCTTTCGTCCTACCTATAACACAATAATGTCTTCTCTATGCTGTGTTTCCTAAATCAGTTTATGCAGTATCTCCATATCTCCTCTTTGAGGCGGCCCTAGCCACTAAATGAAGTCCTGTCTTGTTTTGCTAGCCATGTCTGCTTTATTTTCTTCTGGAACTTCTGCCAGTAAAGTCTTTTCTATCTGTCATCCTACAGTGATCATTACTTTTTAATTTGTTATTTTTATCATATTCCATCAATTATCTTACAATATTTTTTGTCTCATGCTTTTTCTTCTGTCAGTGTCTTACTACTTTTTCTTCTCATGTTAGTTTTTTTGATGCTTGCTCGTCACGAAGCCCTTTGAGGTTTTAGAGGTATTTCCAAAAATGTCATGTCTGCCTTCATCTTTTTTGCCACCATGTATTCTGTTCTTTTCTAAAATCCAGTCAGCTTTATTTCATTTCTTGCTTGCTATTGATTTTATGACTTTTTTCCTTCTTTATTTGGTCTAGTCTTTTAGGTCAATAGCTTATATAAAGTAGGTAATGTAACAATCTTGAGAAAGATGGAACAGATTGGGAGCAGGGGGAGGGATAAATCTGAGTGGATTTCAATGAACCATAACGTATACCTGAAATAAAGACCATTTAAATGCTGTTATTGATCAACTACTAATGAAAAAACATCTTGTCATTGTTTTTAAAATACTGGTGTTTCACAGCTAGACATCTTAAAAATATTTTGCTTTTGAGAAGGGACTGCAATAGTAACCAAACTGTCATTTCCTTTTTATGAGGCTTTGGACTGTGACTACTACTTCATTTTTTAAATGGGATTTAGTTTGTAAATCACTGGGGACTTAAAAAATTAAACATATATTTAGCTTTGATTCTGGTATATTGAAATAGAAATCTTTGATGACGTGCAGTTTGCAGAAGCAAAATTGATTCTGTTTGTTTTAACAGAACTGATGCTTTTAGTTATTTCCTTTCAGCACTTCCTCTCAGGTTTGTAAATGTCCTGAAACTAGAGTTCATTAGAGGGATTTCTTCATTAGGTCTTTTGAAGACAATATGTCACATGCCAAGAAGTGCTAGAAAACTTTTAAAACTGCTTATATTACATAACTACTGGGTTTTTTTTTAATAAATTGCTTGGTTTTTGTAGACATGTTCATAAAGGTTTGCTTTGATCAGCCAGAACTCATGAATTACTCTCTTCTGTTTTCCCAGGTGGCTCGGGTATTCTATTATCTTTGTGTAATTGCACTGCAGTATGTTGCACCATTGGTAATGCTCCTTCACACAACTCTGCTCTTGAAAACACTAGGTAGGCAAAATTGGATCGACAAAAATGTGTTCTGTTCTACACAGGGCTCTTATATTTTCAGATTACTAAAGAGAACTAGAATGAACGGGTACTTGCAATACAGAAATACATTGTAGTTCCCTGCAATTTAAAACAATGATGTGTGGCTTTTAAGCAGTCCTCTTCTGTTGCTGCTTTTGACATCTTTCAATTATCTGCTAATTTGTTTATTTCTGAGAAACTGTGTAATACAACCAATTAAGCTGTTTACTTCTGTTGAAATATTTGTCTTTTAAAAGGTATTTTAAAAGTGAGTTGTATAAAGCATTGTTGATTTAACCGTATGAGCATCTGTTAATGTTTTTTCAGCTTTTCAATCTTAAGTAGGCTTTTTGAATGGAAATTGTGAGATATGGGGTTCATTTCATTATTGGGAGATCTGATGTCACTCTGGGTTGTTATGGGGTTTTTTTTTTTCTTTTTCTTTCTTTCTTGTGAGGGATGTCTTTCACAGCCTGCCATGCAGTTGTGGCATTCTTTTTGCAAAATGTCAACGGAAAGAGATAGGCTTTGTTAGGCTGTGATTCATCCCATTCTGGAGTAGACATCTACATCTGGTGGGATGAATCATACCCAGCACTGACAGGGGTCCCAAGGCAACTGCGTCACATGTAGGTGTTAAGATGTCAAAAGGTAAGATGAATCCTACCCTAATAGCTTACTAGTATGATCAGGAAGCCATGCAGATGAATACAGTTAGTATTTATTAAGTTATAAAGACTACATTTTTTTTGTGTGTGTGTGAAAAATACATATAAGATGATCTATAGAGTGATAGAAATAATAGAACTTGAATTTATTTCTACAAAAATCTGTTACTCGTTTCTTTTTAACAGGTAATTATTCTTGGGGTATCTACCCGGAATTGAATTCTGACACTCCAGTAGAAAACAGTCTGCTTCCCAGTTCAGTTTATTCTGAGTCTCCACCTGCTGATGGAAAGATGAAAGTAACTGTAGTACAAATTACAATGGCTTTGGGAAGCCTAAAGAATATTTTCACTCCTCTCCTGTTCCGGGGACTCCTGTCTTTCCTCACCTGGTGGATTGCTGCTTGCCTCTTTTCTACAAGCCTTTTTGGGCTTTTCTATCACCAGTACCTGACTGTGGCATGAACAGGTCAACTGACAAAGCAAGTGTGAGGTCAAATACTAGATACAAACCCAGGTACCCAAGAGGAGACGAAGAGAAAAGAAGAAAACTATATAAGAAGAGAAAACATATCAGAATTTTTTTTAAACACTTCCTCTGTGTTCTCAGGGTGAATATTCTTATAAAGTTTAAAATCGCAACTGGGTTTGTTATTTTTGTTACCCAAATGGTAGGTAACTAATTGAATTATAGTATCGGGACTGACTGACGTTATTGTGTGGCAGATGGTGGTGAGCGTGCTGAAAAGATACGCCCTCTGAGTATCTTGGTTTCCGTAAACAGCAAGCCAACCTCAAAACTTTGTGTTTTAAGCATCAACAGTCAGTGACTGAACTGTGTTAGAAGGGTACTGGTTATAGTGATGGTGGCTGCCTATCGATTAAATCTTGAAACTGAGCCATACAATGGAAGGAGAGAGGGGATTTAAAAAAAAAAATTCTGTTGGATAGCTATTGATCACTTTTCTCCATGAAAAATGAAATAATCCAACAGGACAAAAAAGATACTGTATATTACAGTAAGGAAAGTTGTATAAAATTTAAATTTAACAGGAATAGATGTATGGACCTGACAGGTATTGCTGCCTAAATATTTTGCAGGAATGCTTGTGCAGTAAGAGGGGAGTTATAAAAAATATATTATTTCAGTCCCTGCAGTCATTTTGAAGTAATGGCCATCTGTATTGGTGCTAATATTGATCCACAGATTCCATCTGGATCTTTTAAATTCCTTCTTTTCAGGTAATAGATAAATTCCATTGAATTCACAAAATAATAGAAGTAGATTACTGACACTATATATTAAATATATAATATATATGAAGTTATAAAGTATGGAAACTTTATTTTAAATTACTGAATGTATCTTACAGGGCCATGGGAGAGGGATGTATGTGTATCTAGTAATTTCAAGATCCCTTTTGAAATGAAAATTAAATTTTTTTTTTTTAAAGTACAGTTGAAAGGGCTATTTGTTTTTGGTGCCTCTTCAAAGGTACTTAGCTTATAAAGTATGGAAACTTTATTTTAAATTACTGAATGTATCTTACAGGGCCATGGGAGAGGGATGTATGTGTATCTAGTAATTTCAAGATCCCTTTTGAAATGAAAATTAAATTTTTTTTTTTTAAAGTACAGTTGAAAGGGCTATTTGTTTTTGGTGCCTCTTCAAAGGTACTTAGCTATACTAAAGAACTTATGCTCTTTTGGAAGAAAAGATCTACTTAAACTGTTAATCTTGAAATTTCTGCTCTGTCAGATCATCGTATTTTGCCACTCTAATCTGTGTTAACTTGGCCGTATAGTAACAACCAATATCTCTTGGCTTCAGAAATAGATTTTCTGTATAATAAAACAGCTATACTAAGGAGGAGCAAAGCATTAACTTTACAAGTTTTGCTTAACTGGAGGGATAGATTCCAAGTATAAAACCATTGTAAAGCAAAGTAGAATGACAATTTTTCAGATGTTTTGTGTAATTGCAAAACATGAATGGGAATTTATATGCAGTAGCATTTTTAAAAAGTTAATATTACTCTTCGCAGAGGTCAGTGGGTTTTTTAACTAATACTAGCTGGTTTTATGTTACTGTTCTTTTCTCTTGAATTTGTGTACAGCTTTGGCATATAATAAGCATTTACAAATGGAAAAGCTTAACTAAATACTTAATATGTAGCAAACCTACCATATGGGAAAATGAACTGTCAATGGATGCAGAAAATCAAGAATTTAAGCTGGTGATAAACTGTCTTACTATGTTGAATGCCTTTTAAGTTATTTATTAGTTTATTAAATTGCATTTACTGATACTAGAGAGAGATTTATGTACACCAGCTAGTACCTCCCGCATGCCTTTGGGATGTTTGAGAACACCTTGCATGATTCTACCAGTTTCATTGTAGTACAGTATTTCAGTGCTACTGGTGCTGCAAGCTTTGTTTTTTCACACCAACTTTTTGTAACTGACGGGGACAAAGGCTTAATTGTGTGATTTGGCCTAAGGAGAAATATTTGACTTCATAGATTCAGATCTCGAAACATTCCTATGTCTTTCAGATGAATAGAATGACAAAATATGACAGGTCCAGCAATACTGGACTCACTTTCTACTAGTTCAGGAGGTATTATTACTAATAGAATCAATAGGGCCAGCTTTTAAGTTATAGGTCAGTATCCAATGTTAATGTTTAATTCAGGAAAATAAAACAATATAGTCCAGTTTGATTCTGATGGTGAAGGTGGCCGAAGAAGCTCACTATATATGAGATGTAACCTATTGTTGCAATCTGAAGGATAGGAATAAACTTTGGATTCTGGAGAAGACTTCAAAATAATGTTAAGTAACAGAGTCTCTGTTGGCATAGCTATTTATTCTGAAAGCTCGTAGATAAAAGTGAACTGTGGTTGTATAATATTGCATTCAGCAAAGGTAATTGTGTGTGTGGCTGAGCTTCGCAGAGCTTTTGGTAAGAGCTTACTCTGTCTTATTCTTCAGATGTCACACTGATCACAGTGAAAAATAGGCACCTGGGTGTTGCTAACGTTAAGATCAAAGCTTCTGGCCATTGCTGTTTTATTGTTCCGCAGAACTAAATGGTTGACCTTCTGGTCAGCAGTCTGATCTGAGTGGGAGATGGTCTTTCTTTGGATCCGTTTAATCCTTACATGAGTCTAGAAGGCTTATTAAAAACTAAAATATAGCAATAAACGCCTTTTGAAATGTGAGGCGACAGTGAAACTAGAGGGAGCGTATTGCTATGGTTGTGAGCGATGCTTTCTACAACTACGTGATATGCTCAAAAGTGACTTTTAAAGTGAAATAGCAACCATGATAGTCCTGACTTCCATGTATATTATGTAGGCTTCAAAGGAGTATCTGCTCACTACTTTAGTACCTTTAAAACGGCGTCTGGCAAATGCTTTTTTTTTTCATGGAGACCTTTATCAGCACCTGGGGGGGGAGGGGAGGCGAAAGCATCTTGCAGACATGGAAAAGCAGGTAAAACATGACTGAAAGGTTAGTAGTTTTTATTCAGGATTCTTAAACATTTTGTCTTGCTTTTTGCCCACTACCTACTTAATTTCCGAGAGATTTTTAGAAGGAAAGGTGCCTTTGACAAAGAATCAATGTTTGTTTCTTTCTTTCTTTCTTCCTCAATTCAGATCTCCCTTTCTCACTCCAGTAATGTGACTTGTTAGCTTGACTTCTTTTTCCTATCCACAGCTTTTTCCCTACATTCCCTACACAGAGCTGACTGGGCTAAATTAGTTCAGGACTGTATTTTGATTTTTATTGTTTTAGTTTAAGTTAATCTATTTTTGAAGGATTAGTTCCTTTAAATAGTTTAAATAACTTTGCATTCCAGCTGAAATATGAACAAACTTGTTAATGATTGTTTAAACACTGCACTTTTATTATGGAAGCCCCTTTAGACAAAGTATTAAGATAGTGATAAATCCAAGTCTTCCAGCAAGTTCAGGGAAGTCCAAACATAACACTTGGGCTATTTCTGAGCTTAGAGAAGTTGATTAGGAAAAGGAGAACAGATTATAACAAGCCTATTCTTCCACTTGGCTGGCGATGTTCTCAGGCAGCACTTGTCCTCTTTTGATACCTTCTCACGCTATACAATTTGCCAGGTTTTGAGGTATTTTTAGCTGCACAGTTTTTTCCTCCTCCACACTTCTCTTGTGTAAGAATCAACGGATAAAGTAATGGGGGAAAACCAGGTAGTATCAGAACAAGAGAACGTCCTTGTACAGAAGGACATGCTTTAGAAAATTCATTTCTATGGCAGTTGTTCTTCTCCTCCTTTGAGTCACAAGTACTGGAAGATGTGTGAATAGAGACGCGTGCTTACCTGGGTTGTAAAGTCAAACTCCCCTGCGAACAAAAATGCCACCGAGGTACATCAACCCAACAAGTAGGTAGCATATAAAACATCTATAAAACGGTTAGCGAGTACAGAAATTTCAATGAACTTCAAAGAAACAATTAAAAATTTTGTACTTTGTCATGGTAACTGCAGCTAAGTGGTAATAGAGGTCTTGGATGTACTGTGTAGAAAATGTAAAGTATCTGATCTTAAAGCTGTTGGAAGGCTCTGCAAGGTAAAAGGCCTTATGCCTCTTTATTCTCAAAGGCCTGTATTTTCCTTTTGAACATTAGCGTTTCTCCAGAGAAGATTTTGAACAGTTTTTAAATGCTACGCTTCATGCTTTGTCACATGACACAATTTGCGCATTTATTTGTTAGCCACAGAACCCCCAGACTTAACCCCACAGTTCATTTTGTAACTACCCCCAGACTTAACCCCACAGTTCATTTTGTCACTACAAAGTTACTGGAAAGTTTTAGTTAAGATTGAAAAATTAAGTGCACAGTGACAATGGAAATGAATGAAAATGAAGCCAAAGAAAATTGTGTGTTTTCTTGGAGAGATCTTTCTGTAATGGCTGAGCAAAATCTTAACAGAGGAAGGGAACAGCAGGTCACTTGTATCCTAAATCAAATATTAAATGTGAATGTTTACTATTATGAGTAAATAAGACTGTTATTTTCAGCATCTGCAGCCTGAGTCCTAAATCCCAGATGGTAAACTAAGAGCAATATTTTGACCTCACTGATACTTACTCTAACGAGCATCTAGGCAACAAGTATTGAAGCCAAACGCCTGATCTAGTTAAGCAAGCTGATGCAGAGCAGTCAGTCTGTGCTTCGGAGTGATTTTTGCGCAGCTTTCTCCTTAGAAAAGTCTGCCCTGCTTTGTGGCTTTGGCAGTGCATGCACTGAAAGGGATGGCATGTCTAATCTCCGCTCCTAATACTAGACTGAAAGGTCTTCCTCCTCTGGGGGAGAGATCGTGAGGCCAAGATGTTACTTCAAGGCTGCTTTTACTGACATCTGTATATGCTGCACTTAACTTTTCCAAGTCTCTCACTGTGGACTGCCAGGAGAGTGATGCTGCACTGGACATCGTTTTGCATGCCAGTGTATATGTATTTTTATAACTTTGATTTCAGTGGCGTTTTTAATGGAAATTATTTTTAATCCTGGTACCATGGATCATAGTTTCATTTTTTTTAATTAATATCGGTGCCTGCAAATAGAAGTCAAATACTTCTACGCTAAATTTTTTTTTAAAACTTGATGTCCAGACTGAAGTATTAACAAGTATGCAGTTTTATATTGAATTGTGGAATCCACCTGTAAATACCAAACTTTTCCCCTATGTGATCACGCATCAGTCAAGAATCCTTAGTCGGATTTGCAGCATTTCTCTCAGCAACATGCTATCCGTATGACTCTGCTATTTATAAAACAAACACACACCTCAGTAGTGTTTTGAGAGTAGCTTTTTACAAACTCCTTAGCAGTAGGCCATTTCTATTTATTTTATGATGCTGCTAAGTATTTTTTA